CCCCCACTTCGTGGGGGGGCATTACAAGCTCTACCAAATATCCAAACGACTCTTCGCGACCACCCAAACCCAGCTTCCCGCCCTATGACGTTGGGACACTTCACTTCGTGGCGTGCGGACGACCGTGGCTACTACACTGGCGTGGGGTACACACCCACAGAACTTGGTCACTTATTCGGGGCGCGCATGTGCCCAGCATGGTGCAATTGTGCCATACAATACATAATACAGAGAGACGAATGTGTCCCGCATGGTATTATTTGACAGGGATGATGGCCCTGGCAGGTGCGCAACCGTTGTCGCAGAAGTTCGAAAAAGTTGCTCGCAAAAGCCCGTTTGACAGAAATGTTTAAAAAGTGTTGGGTTTCCTACGAATCCGCAAGAGCGCGCGGGATGAGATTTTGACATTTTTTTGTTGAAAAACCATTGGTTTTTTGATGTTTTTATGTTAAAATCGCTCCGAACACTAAGCTTTTGGAAGGATTTCGTCTTGCGCGCGCGAATGTCCACTTTACCTTATTTTTTGCAAGGGATTCTTGAAATTTGATTATATTAGAACAAGAAATGTCATTTTATAGTGTTTTTTGCAAGGGAAAACGGATTACAACAAAACAACCGGATCTTGATCAACATCGAATTACCTGAGGCTTCCTCACGAAAATGATGAAAATGTAGCTGCGGCCTAGGCGCGGCGGGGGGGGCGCGCACCAGGGGGCCCAACAATAATTATTCTTTAGAATTAATAATGTTCAACAACAACAACAATTACTAGCACGTGGGGACACTCCGTTCTCACCAGTGCCAGGGTTTTCATAGGAGGCGGGCAATACCCCCACTTTGTGGGGGGGCCGGTTCAAGCTCTACCAAATTTCCAAACGACTCTTCGCCACCACCCACACCCAGCTTCCCGCCCTATGACGTTCGGACACTTTACTTCGTGGCCTGCGGACGACCGTGGCTACTACACTGGCGCATGGGTACAGTGACTTGTTGTGGTAACATTTTCTGGACGCTAGCTTAGTATACGCTAGCTTAGTAGGTGCGATTCGTATGATTTTATGTTGCGCGGTGCTAAAATTCCTAAGAAACCCAATGGTTTTTGAAGATTTCGGCGTGCGCGCGCGAAGAAAAAACGAATGTGTCCCGCATGGTATTATTTGACAGGGATGATGGCCCTGGCAGGTGCGCAACCGTTGTTGGAGAAGTTCGAAGCACGTGAAAAAGTTGCTCGCAAAAGCCCGTTTGACAGAAATGTTTAAAAAGTGTTGGGTTTCCTACGAATCCGCAAGAGCGCGCGGGATGAAATGTTGACATTTTTTTTTTGAAAAACCATTGGTTTTTTGATGTTTTTATGTTAAAATCGCTACGAAAACTAAGGTTTTGGAAGGATTTCGTCTTGCGCGCGCGAATGTCCACTTTACCTTATTTTTTGCAAGGGATTCTTGAAGTTTGGTTATGTTAGAACAAGAAATGTCCACTTTAGCTTATTTTTTGCAAGGGAAAACCGATCGTAACAACACAACCGGATCCGGACCCCCGTTTTGCCTGAGACTTCCTCACGAAAATGATGAAAATGATGGCTGCGGCCTAGGCGCGGCGGGGGGGTCGTGCACCAGGGGTCCCAACAATAATTATTCTTTAGAAGTAATAATGTTCAACAACAACAACAACAACAACAACAACAACAACAACAACAACAACAACAACAACAACAACAACAACAACAACAACAACATCTGACGTCCGCACGGATTTCTCAGATCGGCGCTTGGCCCGTGTCCCTAGCGCGGCGCCGCCAGGGGGCCCCAGCGCAGATTTGAGAAATCCACGCGGACATCAGAATTTGTATGCCTATGTCATTGCTTCTTCCCCGAATGACCTCTGCCTCTCCCTGCTCCGCTTTCAGTCCCGTCGTCGATGATGCTCGCTGGATGCTGCACCTCAGGCAACTCGGCCCGAAGCGAGGGGGCGAAACGCACAGAATACTTACGCATATTCTCTTTCGCTCGAAGCTCGCTGGAAGAGGGCGTGCTCGGATTTTGTTGACGACGCCCGAAATAGGTACGGAAAAAATGGGCACGACGCCCGACAACACAGATGCCCAAAACCAACAGCGGCCGCTGTTGGGCAGGCAGCCTCCTGTCTCGAATGGACAACGTCCGCGGCGACGAAGGCAGCGAGTTTTCTTCCGCACCCGGAGTCCGGCGACGGAGGTGGCGAAAAGCCCAGGAAGGAGCAATGCCTGCTTCCGGGGGACGCCGATGGGCCCATGCCTTCGGCCAGGCTGCCGGGCGAATGCGCGTAATGCCCGCCCAGGGTTAAGTCGGGCCTGTCCCTCTACAGGGGGGATATTCAGAAAGTTTCAAATAGTCTGGGAACGATTTGTTGACCATGTTTGGGCTCAAAGTATCCATGGCGTATTTTTTATTTTTCGTCCAAACTCCGCCTGTAAGGGGACAGGCCCGACCTAAGCCCAGGGGCTACTCGCCCCCATCGGCGCCTCCGACCACTCTGTCCGTGCCCATCTCGATCGTGCCCATCTTGGGGGAAGGGGGGGGGGACAGAGGCGACGACAAGGGCGAATAGCCCAGGGGGGGAGCAATACATGTATCCTGGGGCGCCGATGATCTGTGTCTTCGGAAGAAAAAGCTCCGGAGCGAATGCGTGTCATGCCCGCCCCTGGGCTATTCGCATTTCTCGTCGCCGCCGAGGGGGGGGGCGCCTGCGGGGCGCGGTCCGAAGAGGGCCGGCGTGCAGCAGGTGGGCACGCGCGCGCGCCGCCAAATGCCGCGAGGTCGGGCTGGCGCGGGGGGCGAAGAGGCGCACAGGGGACTACACCAAAAGGGGAGCGCAGGAGACAGGCAGACAGAGGCAGACAGGCAGAAACAGACAGACAGACAGACAGGCAGGCAGGAAAGAGCCTACAGGAACAGACAAAAACAGGAAGAAACAGGCAGGCAGGAAATGACAGACAGACGGAGGCAGACAGGCAGGCAGACAGACAGAGAGACAGACAGACAGACAAACAGACAGACAGACAAACAGACAGAAACACTGATAGACAGATACAGACAAACAGACAGACAGACAGAGAGACAGAGACAGATAGGCAGACAGAGAAACAGCAGGATAGCAACCCCCTGCATCCCTCCTTCTCTGGGTGACTGGGCCACTCTAGACAGGGTACCTTACAAGCACAGCACACTGCAAAATGAAAACTACGCAAGCCTCCTGACCTCCCTGGGAGAGCGGCCCTGGGGCGGGAGAGCTACGGATAAAGTTATAGTTAGGGCCGTTCCTGGCAGGAGTCTCCTCTAACGCTTCCTGCTCTCGGACGAAACCATACCGTCACAACCACCACGAAGCTTCGGGCCAACCGTGCAAGTGGTAAACGCGCCACAGGCAACGCAGTGCACGACAGGGAGCCCTGAGTTCTCGACCCATGCCACGCGAAGTTTGCGATTGTGCCTCGGGCCCCGCCAAAACCACTTAACCCGAGGAAACGAAAACATAGATTGCACCTACGCTTGCCTGCGTGCCAAACGGGAGTGCGGAGGCTGCCGCGTTTGGGGGGTCGCCTTTTAGGACCCGCACGCGACCGACCCAACTCCCCCAGATCCCCAGACTAAGGCCACCCCCTAGCAGTTTACCGACTCCAGATATGAGAGCAGCGAACATCTTGGTGGTTAACATAGTCCAAACATTCATATCGTTGCTGCAACCGTGGGGCTGTCCAACTAGGCAAACATGGTAGTCAGCAAGTCCGCTGCTTCTGCAGAGAACCTTAAGCTCTTCAGTGGGCAGGTCATCCTCTTGTTACTAACAGATGGCTTAGACAAAAGCTGGGGCGCCGCCACGGCTGCGTCTGGCAACCCCTCTCCAAACATGGGCCCGGACATCGGCCCCCGGCAATGCCAAGGGAAAGGCGGCAAAGGCTTTCACCAACGCGCGCTGTCCACAAAGAAGGGGCCAGAAGTGCAGTTGAATTCACTATATACGCACGTAAGAAGCACCGCCCCGCGCTCAGCGGCGCCACTGCTCGGAACCATAACTGCAGGCAGAGGGCCATAATCCGAGCCAAATCTCCTCCGTCGCCCACCTGGGCCACGCTGACCCCCTGACCCCCACGCGCGAGGGTCGGCCAAGGCGAGGGAAAGGGCAAGAACCGCCAGTATACAGATGGGCTCCTGGAGGAAACCCGAACGGTTGAACCCCACTCCAATCTTAACCAAAAAGCGAAACCTGCCAATCGCTGATGGGGGTTTTCAGCGCACGCGCCGACTCAGGCGAGCCACTCGCGACTGCACAGCAAGGAAGCAATAACTGACGTCGACATCCACCACTCCGCGGCCATCCTGCTGACTGTCTTGGCAGCAATGCCAATCGCGTCTATGTTGCGGCTGAGACTCCAGGCGAGGTCGAGCTGCGCCCCCTTGACTCATGCATCGCGGCCAGCCGCAATTCGGACCAGGCAGATCTGGTGGGGGCTGAAAGCATGGACCTCTGCTCCGTAGGTAGGAGTAGGTTTGAGGTTCGTTCGGGACAACCTGTTGCGGCGTCCGGCTTTTAGCTCCATGCGTTTCGTTCTGGCTCGCTCATCGCTGCACTTACTGAATACGCCGCGTCGTTCTCGATTGACCCAGGTCACATTTTGCAACGTCACCCAAGGAAACCTGCTCCAAGACTAGCAACCGCACCAGTTGCAGGCCGAGGCCCACCAAGGTCACCCAGGGCCCGATTGGCAATTTAGAGGAGAGGCCCACTGGAGGCAGCTGGACCAAACTTCTTGTAGGCCATGGGGAGCTCGAGATCTTGGGCAAGGTACTTGTGGACCGATGCCGCCGGCCATTCCAGGCTGCCGGCCGCTTTGAAATCCGGCCCCCCACCCGCGCGCGGGCGAGGTCGTCGACGGCATGGGACAGGCCCGAAGCGCCAATCATTTTGCGAACGAGTCGGCCCGCGCCCGGCCAAGGGTAAACCTTGGCCTCGCACGCGGCCAGCGTAGAGCCTGCAACAATGGCGCGCCAAGAGAATAGCGCCCGACCTAAGTGCCCGCCCAGCACTGGGCGCTCGGGCCACATGCACGTCGACGGACCGAAAAGTACGACACGCCCCGGGCACTGAGAAAGTTGCCCCGCACTGACCCACACACCGCACGACATGCGCTCGTAGACCTGTTCGAAGACCCAGAGGACCTGCAGGGGGGAACCCCTTGAGAGACAAGCTACTCCTGCAAGAGCGCGCTGCCTCCAGGTCGCGTCAGCAGGGGGCGTCTCGGGAGCCATAGAGAAAGGCTCATCGAGTCCACGATCAGCTTCACACTCTCCAGAAGGGCCTTTTTCTGCATTTTCCAAGTGCAAAAACGAAGCCAGGACAATGGCCCAGGGGTCGCCTCTCTTCTGGGCCTGGCTTCGGGACGAGCAACGCGACGAGCCTTGAAATCTAAGGAAGAGCTCTGCAGGTGATCTTTGAGCTGGGAGAGCATCGACTCAAGACCCGGGGGCTCGTCGGGGAGCACAACAAAATGTCTGGGGCGCCAGCCATCTGGCGCACGCGCGGCAAGCTTGAAACTTCTAGACCTCCATGCTGGGCCTCTAGCCGACCGGTAAACCAGCAGGCGCTCAACTTGCAGGAGATCGCTTGGCATCTGAAGCCCCCCGAGCTTTCGCCTGCGTCCCACGCGAATGTCGGACCCTCTGGGGAAGCGAAATACTGCGCAGCACTTTGGCGATCTGGCCATCGGCGACGCATCCTCGGGGCCCCGGGGCGACGCGCTGGCTTGGGGCCCATCGAGGTCCACGCGGGCGCCCTCGGAGCCACTATTATCCATCGCCACCTGGCAGTAGTGCTTCCACCCTGTCCTGTCACATGCCCCGCAGACATGCGGGCGCCATCTCTGGGGCGGAGTGGATAAGTGCACGGGGCCGCCCCAGAGGCCCAAAGCACCCCCGCGGCCCCCGAGGAGGAGCATGCCCATGGCCTTCAGGATCGGGCACCGCAGGTCGAGGCCGCACCCCGCGCGCTCCTGCACAGACCACCCGGAAAGTCAATCTGCTCAAGTTGAGCGACGAGGGCGCGGAGGTGTCTGTCTGTTGAGGGTAGCTGCCCTGCCCCCAGGATGGACTTGATCTCTCGTACCCCCCCGCCCAACAGACAAGCACACACGCGCGCACACACAGACACGCGCACAAGCGCGCACCACCACCACCACCACCACCGCCACCACCATCACCGCCACCAGCAACAGCACCAGCACCAGCACCACCACCACCACCACCACCACCACCACCACCACCACCACCACCACCACCACCTCACACCCCACCGCCCTAGGAGGTTGGGGGTAGGAGGTCGCCCTCGTCGCCTACACTTTGCCCAGTGGCCTGGACCTCCACCCCGCTCCATGGGGTGCCCAGCTAGCCCTCCGCGCGGCTCAGCACCGTTCTGAGCTCGCTCCGCGCCTGGTCGCCCCAGGCAGAGAAGGCGCGGCCGATCTGTTCGCGCGCTGTGTCTTATAGGGGCCCTGCAAGCGCGCCGCGCCCAGCGCTCGCCCCTCCGACGGCGCCGAAAAAGCCGACGAGGTGATCGATCATCGGGCTGTAGTCCAGAGGGGAAGGGCACGGGCCCATGATCGGGGTCGCTGGGATCTTTTGGCGCTGCTTGGGGACAGGCGCCGACCAATCATGCAGCTTGCAATCGAACTGGATCCCGACAAGCCTGCGGGCCCTGAGAGGAGCCGATATGTCCGTGAGAACGTCACACAGAGGCCCCAGGCCTTCGCGCACTGTGAAGCATTCAATCGTGCTCTACACCTGTTCACTCACGACTTCGCTGACACGCGCAGGGGCATCCACTGGGGCCCCGACGACCCCGCCCGACAAGCTGTAGGCGGAACCCGAAGCCACCGAGGCAGAGGAGACATTGAAGTCGGAGCACAGGATTCACGGACTGCCCAGGCTTGCCACTCCCTGTCCAAACTTGCCCATGATCTCGACGCCCCGCGGGGGCATGCCCATGGAGTCGTGGAAATACCGAGAGCGCGTCGCCAAGATATCCAAGGATGTGCGCTGGCCGAAACACTCCGAGAGACGCCTGGGAACAATTCCGGGACGCTTGCTCCAAGCTGCTAGGTGGCTCCGCGAGAACCAGAGTGCCTCCAGGAGCCTTTCCACTTCCCAAGTCGTTGGCAAGGTTTCCAAAAACGCGCCAACCTTGCCCTCGGAGTTTGTTCCGGATAACTGGGCACCTGCTGGGGACGAACCTATGTTCTAGAAGACGCAAAAAATCAGATTCCTCTGACAAAATTGGGGGCTAGCTCCCTGGCAGCAGCCCAGGAGATCACACTGCGCGCGACAGCTTGCTTGGCGTTCGTGCCCGAGCGCCCTCGCGCTCAAGATGCACCGAGGGCGACAGGCGAAAAGAGCACCCATGGCTGATGCGCACGTCGAAGATACCCCCAGCAGTTGCCCACGGAGAGAAGCCCACCTTGCCATCAAAATGGCAAGGGCATCATGACTAAAATCGCATTAGAAAACCTTTCCGCTTGTCGACGAATAGGGCGCTAGGTCATCTGGCATGCGGTGGTAGCCCGATATTTCCTAACTGACACTCATGGATTGCTTCTCTCTCTTTCTCTCTCTCTCTCTCTCTCTGTCGCTCTCTCTCTCTCTCTCTCTCTCTTGTTTAACAGGCGGAGGCGAATAGGGCGCGCAAAAAAAAACGCAGACCCTGAGCGAGCAGGCAAAAAAGAAACTCCACGGAGGTGGGTGCAGTCTGCGACGCTGAGACTACCGCCCGTCATGCCCTGGCAGTCTGTCAGGTACTGCTGCGTGTTCGCTTCGTCGGAGCAGCCATCTACGATTTCCAAGTAGTTAGCGGAGTCAGCAAAGCCATCGAAGTACACTTCGCGGCACACGTGGGAATAAACGAAGGGGCTGCTAAAGACATGCTCAGCAGGACCAGGTAGAACGGCGTTGGCGTCGTTCCCCTTGTTTCTTGCCGCAACTTTTGCCTTAGCCCAGATCTTGTCAACCTCGTCAGGCGTGATCGTCTTAGGGCTGGGTTTGGCGCCCATAGCTTCTTCGACTGGGACTTTAGGTGGAATATCTTGTTCCATGCGAGTAGGAGCGACACCATCGCGGCCAGCTGCATCAGGGCAACCAGAAGTCGAGAAAGTCTCCGCTGAGATTGGCGCGTCTTCGCCGTCCTGAACTCGTCGCCTTCGCTTTGCTTGCATTCGGTCTTTCTCGGTAACCACAACACACTTCAATTCGCTAAAACCGAAGAGTCCACCGTCATCTAACTCAATGTGCTTCCCTGCAAACATGTCTTCTGGACTGATACGTGGCACAGTCGACTTCGGTGATTCCACAAGCACCACCCTGGCCGCCAAGTCACGCACCGTTTCCTTGGAGGTATTCTCGCGTTCCTCATACGCACTGTAAGCAAGGGTTGATGCCATTCTCGCCTCCCGCGCATGCTCCTCTGGAGCCTCAGCTTTCGACAAAGCTCTGTCCATTTGCCACTTCGCCTGCTTCATGGCGTGCTTGGCCGCTCCGACTGACGGCTGGGGCCCAGGAGCGGCTGCCTTCTCGAGCTCATGGATTCATGTTGGTACCGTGCTGCGCCAGCATGGTCGCCCAAGTCTTGCAAACTCCTGTGGAGGGCCCGCAGAGAGGGCAATTGCGCGGGAGTCTAAGGGCAAGATCTGGAGGTTGGCACTGCTGGCAGACCAATCCGACCCGACTGTCGGAGCAGAAGGCCAACAGGGCGAGCGTCAGGAGTATGAGTGGTAGCACTCGCGGGAAGGAGATGAGCAGCAAACCCACGGGGGGCATGCTTGCCCCAAACCCCTGAGCGCTCGTCTTTCTGCCACTGGACAACCTGAACTTCCTTCCTGGTGCCTCGACTGTCTTTGCACCACTGCATCCAATCGTCGCTCTTAGCATGTAACGTTTTGTCAGTCCAGCTGGTAGACCCACGCCCATCTCGCTCCATGTGAGGTCTTGACACTGTCCTCGCAGATAGCTGCAAGAGGTCATGGTGAGAGGGAGGAGGTCCATCAGCCTGAAGCCCCGACAGGGGTGTCAATGGAATGTAGGTGCCAAGCCAATCCTGGCCCGCAACGGCAATGCCGTTCTGAAGCTCGCTGCTGCAAGATCCTCGTCCGAAGATTTAGGAACCAGAACGGCTTCCCTCCCTCCCTCCTCCTCCCCCTCCCCCATCCTCGCAGTAATTGTAACCCGCCTCTGCCTCCTCACCCTTACCCTCGCCCTCATCCTCCCCCCTCCCCATCTCCTTTTATTTGTCCACCCCCCCTCCCATTCCCTTGCTCTTTTTGCTTCCCTCCTCCCCCTCCTCGTCCTGTTCCTCCTCCTCCCCCCCTCCCCCCCTCCTGCCCCCCCCCTCCCCCCCTCACCCCCTCCTCCCTCCTATCCAGCCCCTCCTCGCGCAAGGGGAGGGGGGGAGGAGGGCTTCCCAGGCATGGCGCGCCTGTGCGGAAGCAGAGCTTCAGGATCTCTGGCTCGGCGGGCTCCTCTTCGTCCTCCACAGAAGGGGGAGGAAGCCGCCGACGACACTCCGCCGGGAGGACCCGGAAGGGGAGAGGGAGGGAGGCGGTGAAGGAGAGAGAAGGCGAGGGAGAGTGAGTGGAGAAGAGGGCAGGAAGGGATCAATCATCATCGAATCTGGGAATCGGATCGAGCCCGGACGTGCGTCGGAGCGGGCGGCATTGGCACGGAATCGGGGTCGAATCGAATCGGCCGTGCCAGGATGCACATCAGCGCCATGCAAGCATCGGGCCACATCGGACCGCCAAAAAATCGGAATCGAGTCAAACCCAGAAGAAACGGTCGAACCCGACATCCAATCGGACCGGTCGCACCGACACGGACCCGGGAGGGGAGGTGGAAGAAGAGGGGGGGTGGGGGAGGGACGAAGGGCGAGGCAACAGGGACGAGGGACGAGGGGCGAGGGGCGCGGGGAGGGATGGGGGGGCGGGCGAGGGGAGGAAGGGAGAGGGCAGGGGGGCGAGGGAGCGCCGCCTCGACGCCGCCGCGGGCGGAGGGCGCGCCCTCGGATGCGAGGCGGGGGCGATCTGCACGTGGAAAAATTCGGAGGAGGAGGAGGAGGCGGAGGAGGAGGAGGAGGAGGAGGAGGAGGAGGAGGAGGAGGAGGAGGAGGAGGAGGAGGGAGGAGAGGGGGAGGAGGAGGAGGAGGAGGAGGAGGAGGAGGCGGAGGCAGGAGGAGGAGGCGGAGGAGGAGGAGGAGAGCGAGGAGGAGGAGGAGAAGGAGGAGGAGGAGGAGGAGGAGGAGGAGGAGGGAGGACGAGGACGAGGAGGAGAGGAGGAGGAGGAGGGGGAGGAGGAGGAGGAGGAGGAGGAGAGGAGGAGGTAGGAGGAGGGGGAGGAGGAGAGGAGGAGGAGGAGGAGGAGGGGAGGAGGAGGAGGAGGAGGAGGAGGAGGAGCTCCGAAGAGACCCGGAGAAACAACCCTGAGAACCCTGACCCAAAACCAGGACACGGCGGCGGGATGGGCCGAAGGCCATTCGATAATGGCATCACCTCCAGTGGCACTATTACGGGCGTCACTGACAAGATTAGTGATGTTGATGCTGGTGGCAACGCCACTGATGCCGCTGACCCACCTGTTCAACAAATCCATCATCCACCCCTTCCCCAGCATCATCCACATAACCATGACCCACAATCAGTCCGCTCATTCACAGGACGCACACTGATCATACGTTCCATCACCCATTTCCTTCATAAAACAGCATGTCCGTTCACCATCAACATCATCATCCCTATGGCCCTCATCGTCATCACCTCCTCCTTCCCGTCACCGCCACCATCATCAGCATCAGCAACATCACCGTCATCACCAACCGCAACATCATCAACAACGTCATCATCACCATCAAAATCGTCGTCACCACCACCATCGCCACCACAACTATCACCACCACCACCCTCATTACCATGAGCATCACCATCGTCATCACCATAATTGAGATTGCGATTACGATCAGCACAACCATCAACAAGAGTACCTGCACCACATATCGTTGTCAGCACCATCGTCATTCCCAGCATGATAAGCGGTAGCCTCGTCATCATCATCAGCAGCATCATGCTCCCTTCCTGTCCTCGCGCGCTGCCTGCGGACATGGGGGTTCTCCACAGCAGCGCCGCAACGCTCTGCGAAGCTGCCAGCGCACGGTAGGCACACCTTGCTGTGGCCGCTCTGGGTTCACTGGAACACCACTGCGGATGCTACGAATCTGTGCAACAGCGTTAAGCCTCCTCCCTGTCCGGTCCCTCCTGCAGCCGAGGGCGGGTCTGTGCGCGCAAGCCCGATGCCACCCTCTGACGCCGAAGACCAACGCCGGGAAGGTGCAGCGTTCCGCGACGACCTGGTAAAGCACCTTCTTCTCCTCCTCCTCCTCCTCCTCCTCCTCTTCCTCCTCCTCCTCCTCCTCCTCCTCCTCCTCCTCCTCCTCCTCCTCCTCCGCCTCCTCCTCCTCCTCATCGTCCTTCTCCCTTTTCCCAACCTCCGCCTCCTCCTCCTCCTCCTCCTCCTCCTCCTCCTCCTCCTCCTCCTCCTCCTCCTCCTCCTCCTCCTCCTCCACGGGTGGCTCCTCCGGCCTGGGGGCCTCGTCCGCGACCGGGTCGTCCTTGCCCTTCTTGCCCATGGCTGCCGCGGGCGCCCCCCCGCGCGGTGGCGCGCGCCCACGCGGGGGGGGGCTGGGCCAGGATGTAGGCAGGAGGAGGAAGAACAGGAGGGGGGAGACCGAGGAGGAGGAGGAGGAGAGGAAGGAAGGACAGGAGGACGGAGAAGAGGAAGAGGAGGGGGAGGGACGGGAGGGCGAGGACGACAACGAGGACGAGGCAGAGGCGTGGACGAGGGACAGCAGGAGGGATAAGAAGAGGAAGAGGGATAGAGGAGGAGGAGGAGGAGGACGAGGACGAGGACAACGACGAGGACGAGGACGGGGCGGGGACGACCGAAGAGCAGCAGCAGCAGCACCAGCAGTGAGGGAGAGCAGGAGGAGGAGGCGGAGGAGGATAAGACGCGTCGGCGATCGCTCGGCTGCGCTGGGGCAAGCAATGAGTGTGAGGAAGACGGAGACAACGACGAGGGCGCCAGGACGGAGAAATCGGGCCAAAGCCTCCCGCTTCCCTCCCGCCCTCCCCACCGAACCCTCCTGGAGGCCCAAAGAGGCGCACGAGGAGCCCCAGGAGATACCCAAAGAGGGCCCAGTGGGGAGAGCCACACTGCAAACACCACTCTAAAGCCCCACGGCATGTCAGGGACCTGAGGTTCTCGCGCGTCTCTGCATCATGTCTGTCCTTCGTTCGCCCGGAATGGGTACGGAAAAATGGGTAATTACGATGCCCAGCAACAAATGCTGTCCGAAAACGAGAGCGGCCGCCATTGGATAGGCGGCCTTCTGTCTCGAATGGACAACGTCCGCGGCGACACCGATAGCGAGTACTGTTTCAAATCAAGCGGATACATATGCTGTCGGGCTTCGTACCCATCCTTTCCGTACCCACGTCAATCGTGCCGAGTTCGGGAGGGCCGTCGAGGGCTCCAATACGACCCTGGAGAGAACCCGAGCGAGCCTCCAGGGGGTCTCAAGATGGCCCCCAGACGGTCCAAGGAGGACCCCGTGCGTGCCCTGGCAGACAGCGGCAGAGCGGGGAGGCCGCCGACGACGACGACGACGACGACGACGACGACCACAACGACGACGACGACGACGACGACGACGACGACGACAAGGATGAGGACACGGCTGCACTGGGCCTGGGGCCCCAAGGAGCGCCCAGGTGCCCAGGTGCACGAAGGCCGCGGGGAGTAAGAGCGATGTGAGGACATGGGGAGCACCGAGCCCCCTCCGAGACGTCGGAGCCTCAGTTGCACAGTTCGGAGCCACCCACGTCAGCGTGGGGCGTGCTGGGGCCAACTCTCCGCCAGCTGGGTCCCTCCTCAGCCACCTTGAGGCGCAACGATCGGGGGGGGGCTGGCTTAGGGGGGGACAGGGCTGAACCTAAACAGTGTTTATCGTTTTCGTCTTGTTTTCGTTTTCCCTCGTTTTGTCTTGAATTCGCCTCCGCTGCAAAACGACATCGAAACGAGAACGGCCCACGAAATCGCCAGAACACCGTTGAGGTCCACCCCTGGGGGGGAAACCTCGACCTGGAATCCGCGATGCATCGCCGATAGGCCGGCGATAGGCCCCCGATAGCGAAACCGCACGTTCCTGGTCGGGTTGGGGCCAACAGGCCCCTCTCGGCGATGAATGGACGATTGGGGGTCGATGCAGGCCCCCTATGCCTATCCCCCCCTATCGTGGCCCCTGCCACCTCTGGGCCCCACTTCGGTGGCCGACCTGGCCAGTGCGGGGCCCAGGTGGGCAGCACGAGCGCCAACGTTGGGCCGCCACCGCTACGGCGAGCCCACTCCGAACCCAAAGCGGTCCGTGTTTCAACGTCTTGGCTGTATTGCCGCGACCTCGATTCGTATTCTCTTGCTATTCTCATGCCTTCCCCCTGCGCACCTCCTCGCGTCTCCTGCATCATGACTGAGGTCCCTTCAGGGTCGGCAGAGCCGGTCGCAAGGCCTCTCCGGCACGAGG